GGTTGGTGACAGCAAAAATGACCAATCAATGGATGCTACTGGCTTGACAGCTCAGTTGATTATACTGAACCATCCTGGCCAAATCAGCGCTGCACATGCACCTGTACTGGATTGTCACATCACCCACATTACTTGCCAGGTTTGCTGAGCTGAAGAAGGCTCATCATTGTTCTGGGAAAAAGCTGGACAATGCCTCCATATTCTTGAAATCTGGTAATGTTGCCATAGTTGATATCATTCCTGGCAAGCCAATCTGTGTTGAGAGATTCTCTGACTGTCCTCCTCTGGGCTATTTTGCTATTTGTTACATCAGACAGACAGTTTGCTGTGGGTGTCATCTAAGCAGTGGACAAGAAGGCAGCTGGAGCTGGCAAGTTCACCAAGTCTCCCTAGAAAGCTCAGAAGGCTAAGTGAATATTATTCGCAATACCTGTCACCCCAGTCTTACTCAGTGGTGGAAGAACAGTCTTAGAACTGTATCTCAATTGGCCATTTAAGTCTAATAGTAAAAGACTGGTTAATGATAACAAGGAACCATAAAACCTTCAGAAGGAAAGGAAAATGGTTTTGTGGACCATTTGGTTTCTTTTGTGTGGCAGTTTTAAGTTATTAGTTGTTTTTTATATTCCCCATACAATTACAACCCCCTGATTTTGACCCCAACCCCTCCTTTCCCCGCCCCCTCCCCAAAGTGTGTCTCTGGTTTATAGTTGTTTGTTGATTTTGATTTTTTCTTTCTTATAGTTATTCTTTTTCCTGGTCCCTGATTTAGGTTTTCTAGATTCCTGTTATGAGTGAGACCATCCAGTATTTTTCTTTTTCTTTCTGGCTTATTTCATGGAGCATGATCCCTTCCAGCTCCATCCATGTTGCTGCAAATTGCATGTGTTTATCTTTTTTTATTGCTGAGTAATATTCCTTTGTGTATATGTACCACATCTTCTTGATCCAGTCATCTATTTTGGGCATTTGGGTTGTTTCCAAAGCTTAGCTACTGCAAATTGTGCTGCTATAAACATAGGGGTGCAGGTGCTCTTTGGAATTAATATTTCTGTGTCCTTTGGGTAAATACCTAGGAGTGGAATTGCTGGATCATATGGAAGCTCTATCTTTAGTAGGTTGAGGAATCTCCACACAGCTTTCCATAGTGGTTGGATTAAGTTATTAGTTTTTAAAATCAGTAATTTTTATTTTATTTTTTAAGATTTATTTTTGCTCATTTATGCATACAAGAGCTGGGGTGTAGGCCAGAGGCGGGGGGCTGGGGTGTGATGAGAAGATTCACAGAGAAAGAGTGAGGAGCAGAACAGGTGGATTGACCGAAATACACTGCTGAGGGTAGCAGCGGGTGAGACAGGAGAGTTCTGCTGCACCATGTGGGTTAGCTACCTGGCCAGGGATAGAACTCTTGCTGTAGTGGCTACAGATAGCTTGATAGTGCTGAGACTTAACCCCTTCCGCTACCAGGGAGGCCCAATATCAATAATTTTTAATGGAAACAATTGGACCAGAAACTCATCACAAAATTTTGAGACCCATTAAAACAAAGTTTAAATGGGGGGGTGAAGAGAGTGAAACAATAAATAATAGACTGGGAGAATAAATTTGCAAGACACATATGATAAACGAGTGTTATCTAAAACATTGGCCTCCCCGTTGGCGCAGCGGTAGAGCGCTGGGTTGCGAAGCTGCCTGCGGCCTCTGCGGCGCCGGTTCAATCCCCGGCTGCTCCCCGGCCACCGGAGGAGGGTCCCACATGGCGCGCAGACCTCTCCTGCCGCCCGCTGCTCCCCTCAGCAGTGTACCTCGGTCCTTCTGCCTGCTCTGCTCCCCGCTCTGGCTCTGGTGAATTCTCTCACCCTCCCGCGCTTCTGACTGTACCCAGTGCATGTATAAACAAAACAAACAAACAAACAAATAAATAAAAACATGCCTCTATTAAAAAAAATAAAATAAAATAAAATAAAACATAAAAAGGGGGCCTCCCTGGTGGAGCAAGGGGTTAAGTCTCAGCACTATCAAGCTATTAGCAGCCACTGCAGCAAAAGTCTGATCCCCAACAGGGAGCTAACCCACATGGTGCAGCAGACCTCTCCTGTCTCTCCCACTGCTCCCCTCAGCAGTGTATTTCAGTCAGTCTGCCTGTTCTGCTCCCCACTCTGTTTCTGGTGAATCCTCTCATACCCCCACACCTCTGGCCTGTACCCCAGCTCTTATATGTATAAATAAAACAAATCTTTAAAAAACATATATATAAAGAATTCTTAAAATGCAACAAGCAAGCAATCTGATTAAAAAATGGGCCCAAGAATTTAACAGACATCAAAGAAGATATACAGATGGCAAATAAGCATTTGAGAGGATGCTCTACATCATATGTCATTTGGGATATGCTAATTAAAAAAACGATTCAATACCACTATACACCTATTAGAACGACCAATTCCAGAACACTGAGAACACCAAATGCTGGTGAGGATGAGGAGCAATTAGGAATGCAAAATGATATAGTAACTTTGGAAAATAGTTGGGCAGTTTCGTACAAAACTCAGACATATGACTGAGAAATCATACTCCTTGATATGTATTAAAATGAGTTGAAAATTTATACAAAAACCTGCACATGAATGTTTATCACAGTTTTATTCATAACTGCCTAAACTGGGAAGCCAACAAAATGTCCTTCAGTAATTGAAAGGATAAATAAGCTGTGGTACATCCAGAAAACAGAATGCCTCATTCACCTCGACTCAGGCTCGCTATATGAGCCATTTGTGCTTAGTGTCTGGCGCGCAAGCCACATGAGTTTGACTTCTAGTGTGTAAGTTGAGTGGACTGCAACAGCTACCATTGCTACTGGGACAGCTGCTACTGGTTATCTAGCTTACAAAAGATTTTGTAGTACAGATCATCACAACAAATCTGTGGTCAATCTTCACATTCAGAAAGACAAACCCAAGATAGTACATGCTTTTGACTTGAAGGATTTGGGAGATAAAATTGTGTACTGCAATTGTTGGAGGTTCAAAAAGTACCCATTCTGTGATGGATCTCAAATGAAACACAATGAAAATATTTTAGATAACAGGGGACCTCTGATCATTAAGAAAAAGAAATTTAGGCCTCCCTGGTGGGGCAAGGGTTAAGCACCGCACTACGAAGCAATCCACAGCCTCTGCAGCATGAGTTGGATCCCCGACCGGACAGGGAATAACCCACATGGTGTAGCAGACCTCTCCTGTCTCGCCCACTGCTCCCCACAGCAGTGTATTTCAGTCAGTCTGCCTGTTCTGTTCCCCACTCTGTCTCTGGTGAATCCTCTCCCCTCCCTCCCCCCCCCCCCCGCTGCCCCATCTCTGCCCTGTACTCCAGCTCGTGTATGCATAAATATTTAAAAAGAAATTTGAATGGACATTTTTGACACTGCAAACCAACTTGCCACAATATTACCAAATTGGTTAATTAGGATGACTCCCACTTCTGTTAAATTCACCTCTTGTTCTAGATGTGGTATGTTGCAAAATACAGCTTTGATAGTCATAGTATTTGCCTTACTTGTTGAGCCATTACATTACAAATTGTTTAAACAAAAGGAAAACCAACCTCATGGCCTGTAGTTTATTTTGGATCCTGGATCCGTTTCTTTACATTTAAAATATAGTTGTATGTTGAAGTTAACCTATTAAATTATACTCAAAATAAAGTAAAAGAATATTATTCACTGTTAAAAAAGAAATGAACTACCTAGGCATGAAAAGACATGGGAGAACTTTAAATGCATTTTACCAAGTGAAAGACATCAATCTGAGAATTCTTACTCTATGTATCCAACTATATGACATTCTTGAAAAGGCAAAACTATGGAGACAATTAACAGATAGTTAACAAGGATAACAAGAGCCGGTGGGGAAGGATGAAGTGGCAGTGAAAATACTCTGTATTATACTATACTGAAAGACACATGTCATTGTATTTGTCCAAACCAATAGAACTTATAGGACCAAGAGTGAACCATAATGTAAGCTATGATTTTGAGTAATTATGTGTCAATGCAGGTTCATCAACGGTAACAAATGTATCACTATCGTAGGGAATGCTGATAATTGGGGAGGCTATCCATGTTTGGGGACAAGGGTAACTTGGGAAATCTCCACATCTACCTTTTCTTGTGAACCTTAAGCTACTTTAAAAATAAAGTCTTGATTTTTAAAAAATGCAGGTGAGAGAGGTCATAATTGAGAGAGCCTGGGTATGAGATCCAAGACACTGGAAAAAGGCTAAGCTTTAAACCATAAGAAAGAGATTTTCCACTAAGACAAAAAGCAAGGGGTTAAAGACAGGTACCTAGCTCTACTAAGAATTTTGATATTACATAATGGTGGCATAATGCCTGGATTCATGCAGTGATTTAAAAAGTTACTTTATAAATTGTGCACTTGACATGACAAATTTTTATTATATATTTACCACAATGGAAAATATGCAAAAGTCACTTGATTACCATCTTATTCCTATATTCTAATAGGTTAGTATTATTACAGGTCAGTTAGCTGAAGTTTAACTTTTTTTTTAAAGATTGATTGATTGATTGATTGATTTATACATACATGCATACAAGCACTGGGTACAGTCAGAAGCGCGGGAGGGTGAAAGAATTCACCAGAGCCAGAGCGGGGAGCAGAGCAGGCAGAAGGACCGAAGTACACTGCTGAGGGGAGCAGCGGGCGGCAGGAAAGGTCTGCGTGCCATGTGGACCCTCCTCTGGTGGCCAGGGAGCAGCCGGGGATCGAACTGGCGCTGCAGAGGCTGCGGGCAGCTTCGCAACCCAGGGCTCAACCGCTGCGCCACAGGGGAGGCCCTGAAGTTTAACTTTTAATTCATTAACTATTCTCTATCTTATACAGACAAGTTTTATTTAACTTCTTGTGTCCAGTGAAAAATGGGTATTCCATTTTATCCATAGTTTATTTCTACTTAATAGAATAAATCAAAGATCTTACCATTTGAAATACATCAGAACCTTCATCAAAATCCACCATAGCAAAAAAAATCCTGTTGGTAAATGCACTGGAGTATCGCCAAGAGTTTGCCAGGATCTGGAATTCTTCATCAGCTTGCCTGGATAAAATCAGATTTGTGAGGAAACCATATAAGGCAATTTTAAAAAGCAATCTAGTTTCTCAGCAGTAACACAGAGCCAAAGTAGCATTAATGGTTTTTTCAATGGGATAAATATCAAAAAAAAAAAAAAAAAAAAGAAGTCAGGCTCTGCTGACAGGGTTAGGAGAAACCTTCAAAAACTCTGTCACTGTTATGGAATAAGACAAGCCTTATCCAAGTATTGAGGACTCGAACATAAAGTAGTAATTACTTTATTCAGCTTCATACTTTGTGCCTATTTCTTATCTCAAAGCTCTTTCAGTAATCACTGGAAAAACTCAGCTGTCTACAACAATTTTTAATGCCCTAAATTACTTCTAAGGAAGGGTTTAAAGACAAGGTTGAAGCATTTTCCCAGGGAAATGAAACTAATATTAATCCATTAAAAAATATGAAGTACAGGGCCTCCCAGGTGGCGCAGCGGCTAAGCGCTGGGTTGCGAGGCTACCTGGAGCCTCTGCAGCGCTGGTTCGATCCCCGGTCGCCAGCGACGGTCACACATGGCACGCAGGCCTCTCCTGTGGCCCGCTGCTCCCCTCCGCAGTGTGCTTCGTCACTCTGCCTGTTCTGCTCTCCACTCTGGCTCTGGTGAATTCTCTCAACCTCCCATGCTTCTGACTGTACCCAGTACTTGTATAAATTAATAAATAAATCTTTAAAAATATATATGAAGTACAAATGGTACCTAGCAAATAAAAACATAATCAGATAGCTTATTAGGGTGGAAGAAGAATCTAGGGAATTGAGATTATTGAAACCTTAAATCAGTTTTCACTTTTCCCTTATTGCCCATATACTTTCAGTTTCCAAGATCTGACAATTCTTCATTTATGAATCTTTTAACTCTATCCCTTTTCTTTTATTTTCATTGCTATCATCTAAAGTCAGATCCTTTATATCTGTCATTA